TTCGTTTTGCAATATATACTTTATCTGAGTGTGTGAGCGATGAGACTTTATGTTTGGCTTTTAGAATCTAGTTAATACATTGTGTAATAGGAGCCGCGGTGGCTCAAGTGGTTAAGACGCTGAACTGCGGGCTGTGGAAGGTCAGTAGTTCAGCAGTTCGAGACCGAAAGTTGCACAAAAATCGGATTCCCGTGTCAGGTTATGAAAGTTGAAAGGAACCATTTTTTTGTTGTTGCCATAGCATGTCAGTTTTTGAGAGGATAAACCAGCCAAGAATTGCGTCTGATATTTTGACATTTTTGTTTTCATGCTTCTTAGAATATGGGTCTAAAGGCATCCTCTAAGGGTCAAGTCTGTTTCTCTACCGAGGTGTTGTTTGGAAGCCAAAATGAGAGATCACGGGAAGAGGTGGGACTCCAAAAACAACATCCGTGATAAAAATAATGAAGAGTCAATACAGAGAAGTTGCAAAAACATTTACTGAAGTATTTCTGTAGTTTGGTAAGGAATGTCCTTCTGTCATCGCTCACACGCGAACGAAAACTGCGCAATGTGAACATTCGTTTAGCAATATATACTTTATCTGAGTGTGTGAACGATGAGACTTTATGTTTGGCTTTTAGAATCTAGTTAATACATTGTGTAATAGGAGCCGCGGTGGCTCAAGTGGTTAAGACGCTGGGAATGTTTCCAGCAAGAGTTGATAAGTAGTATTTAATAAGAATTGGGATTGCTACACGCTCAGATAAAGTATATATTGCAAATTGAATGTTCACATTGTGCAGTTTTCGTGAGCGATGACAGAAGGATATTCCTTACAGAACTACAGAAATACTTCAGTAAATGTTTTTGCAACTTACCTTTATTGACTTCATTATTTTTATCACGGATGTTGTTTTTGAGATGTTGTTTGGGGCAAAATTCTAGCAACCACTTGGTCAGGTCGGTGTCTTTTCGGTCAGGCAGAGGTAGCCAGTAGAGGAAGGCTACTTAAGAAGCAAGCCTCAGCTATAGGGGTAAAGATAGCACCCACCAAAGAATATACCATCCTGTATGAGTCGAAATGACATCTGTGGTTATTTCAGGGAATGGCTTCTTCACGGAGCTTTTAGCACTGAAATAAGTACGTGTATGAAGCTGCCTGATTCTGAATCAGACCCTGGACAGTCAAGGTCGGTATTGCCCACTCAGACTGGCAGCAGCTCTCCAAGGTCCCAGGCGGAGGTCTTTCCCATCACCTACGGCCTGGTCCTTTTAATTGACGATGCTGGGGATTGAACCTGGGACCTTCTGCATGCTAAAAGTAAATGCTCTACCCAGGGGTCATTTTCTAGAAAAAGATGTTCATAACTCATTTGCATATGCCACACACCCTGACAAAGGGCAGGCATGTTTAAAATGAGTTATGCAAATGAGTTTAAAGGGAGATCTTGTACCTGAATAAGCATTTAAATCCCCCCTGAGTCTCTCTGCAAAAGCGGAGAGGCAGGCATGTCTGCCTCCCTGTCCTTCACATCTCCAGCCAACCCGCCACAGTGGGCTGGCTGGAGACACGAAGGACAGGGAGGCAGACATTTCTGGGTTCCCTGCCCAATCTTCTCTAGATGCCCTGACGCAGGGAACCCAGGCATTTAAATCCCATTGAGTCTCTCCGCGGGCAGGGGGTGGGGGCTGGGCTCCTTACTGCCGGAGCGCTGCTCCGGGGCGCTCCGGCAGGAAATGACCCCTGTCTACCACTGAACCACAGGACTTCCCCTGAAGCGGTGGTTCGTACATAGTCCCACATGAAGCTGCCTTCTCCTGCATCAGACAATTGGTCCATCAAGACCATGCATATTCAAATTCAAAACCTTTAATGGCATATGAGGGTAAATCAGAATTAGATACAGACAGGGTCTAAGATGAATAAAATCAGATTAAAAGGTACAATCTAAAAGGATAATTAGAGTACTATCCAGAAAACCATGTCTAAAAGCAAAATCAGGCAGTTATTCCTTGGCTTTACCTGGAAAAGGACAAACCCTTGTGCAATATACTATAGCCATGTACTCAGCCACTAATTCCATCAGTCGGGAGGATTTATGAGCAGGTGTGTGCTTGGGCTGCACATGAGCACCATCTTTGCCATGGAACTCCCGCGTGCTGACCACAAGCGGCTGCTGTACCAGGGTTTTCCTGTGGCCCATTTCAGATCCCAAAGCCACGGGGGAAGCTTCCGTCTGGAGGAGATTTATTCGGAGACGACGACAGCGAGGACGGTCTCTTCAGCCCCGCGCCAACGAAGCCGCTGGTACTGACTGTTTTTTGTCCAAATAATTTGAAGAGATGTGGTGTGGAGGCAGGGAAGGGGCGCCTCTTTAGAATCATTAAAATCACACAAGCATCGTTATTAACAACAGTTCATTTTGCCACACGGAGAATTGGGTATTTCCCCCACCCTAGATGAAAACTGCTGGAACCCACTTAGCAGGAAGTTCTAGATCACCTCCCCAAAGAGTTTCCACAAATTCTCCTTGACACTGAAGGAAAGTCCACCTGACGCTGCAGTCTAGCACCCCTCCCCTCCCCCGCCCCACCCCACCCCGGTCGATCAGGGCTTTGGCGCAAGATCACATTTTGGGCCTCCCGTATTGCTTGGGATACGTCTCCCCCTTACAGTTTGAAGCGTTTTAGGTCTCATTCATCAGGATTTACTCCCGTGTAATGTAACTTTATACAGAAATCCACCGGCCCCGCGGCAAGTAGACCTAAAGAGCCCTCGCCTCGGATCGGAAAGTTACAAGTAACTCATTTTACCTGTGTCCTAACTTTCAGCGCACTTCTCTTGCTGCATTCATTGTGGTTCTCCATACGTCTTTTTTACTTCCAGCTTCAGCTTAGCGGATGCAGCTTTGGATTTCTGTCAATTGCATGTGTAATGGGACACGCCTTATTCCCTTCTGGGGCAGAGGAGGGGGACTGATTTCTGGGCAGGACCAAAGGGGAGCGGGTCCGTGCACACCTGTCTGTCTGCACCGTCCGTCGATTAATCGCGCTTTCACGAGCTCTGCTGTTTTCGGGCCCTTTCTTCTCTTTCTCGTCCGTCTTTGTTACCGGCCTGACCCGCTACTGACAAATGCCGCCTTCTCTCCATCGCTTTCGAAGGCAAGTCTGGATATTAACCCAGCAGCTTTGCTGCCCGGCGAGACTCGGAAGCCTCCCCCGCCACACCTGGAGCCCCCCGGGGTACAGCACGCTCAGACGGCCCCCGCTCCGGGGAACAGCAAAGAGACGGGAGTCAGCTTCGATCATCCCGTGCAAGCGGACACTTTGCACAACGCAAACAAGGTACGTTTAATCATGCAGATATTGATGGAATCGCTTGAGAAACCGGAAGAAGAACATGCCAGTTCTTTCTAGATCGCAACTGTTTTGCTGGTGCAGTTAAAGTTGATAGTCTTGACTTTAGGCAGGGAAGCAAGTCTGGAATGCTTTAAGGCTATTTTTTTTTTGCTTATGAGCCTTCCTCTGTATGCTCCCCCCCCCCCAATATACTTGGGTCATTAACTGAAGCCCTGTTTGGTTGCAGGTCTTGAAAACAGCTGGGGAGGTTCGGTAGACTCTGCAGGTCCTGGCACTTCCCACTCTGTTGCCCGTGACTTCCAGGGTGGGTGGGTCCCAGGGTCCCACCCACAAATCAGGCAGGAAACCCAAATGAAATAGGCCCAGGGCTATTTTTGGGCAGGAACGCACAGGAACGGAGTTCCGGCTGGCTCCCGAGTTGGCCACGCCCAGCAGGAACTCATTAGCATAATAGGCCACACCCAACAGCAGAAATTCATTAGGATTGGCTACATTAGGGGTGTGTGGCCTAACATGCAAAGGAGTTCCTGCTACAAAAAAAGCCCAGGGTTTTGACCACAAACAAGGTAAACAATAAGAAGCAAAAGGTGGGTGTGGCTGGATGACCACACTTCTGGTAACATGGGGGGGTGGCCTCATATGCTAATGAGCTATGCTCTCATGGGTGTGGCTGGATGTGCTAATGAGTGTCTGTTGTTGGGTGTGGCCTATTATGCTAATGAGTTCCTGCTGGGCTTTTTCTACAAAAAAAGCCCTGAGTAGGCCTATTAGTTGCTGTAGATTTTCCAGGTTGTGTGGCTGTGGTCTTAGCATTGTAGGACCTGACGTTTCGCCAGTAGTTGTGACTGGCATCCTCAGAGGTATTACACAGAAAGATGGAGGACTCTCTGTGTCAAGGTGATGCCCTGGGTACTTGTAATAGCTCAGATTTTTTTGTAACTTTTTATTTTAGATTTAATAATAGCATAAACAACAAACAAGCAGTGAACAATAGACAGTAATCCACCAACAATAAAACGGAGCAGTAGTAGACTACGGTATCGTGAAATGAGAAGTTATAGCTCAGGTTCTTAATTTCCACAATGAACCAGCATTTACCTGAGCTGAGTCACATTGGTTAAAGAGAGTAGATTACTCCCTTTTAGTCTATGGTGGTGTGACCATAATACAGAATGAAGAGTGTTTGTGTGCGTATGTACACTAGGGAGGGTCACAAACCAGAAGAATGCGGCTCGTGGTTTGTGGCCAAACCATGAATTGAGACAAACCAATAAATAACAACTGTGCACTGCCAAGACCCACACAAAAGCTTACAAAAAGAGACTTCAACACAATAAGTAATTCAGCACATGTAATCCATCATAGGAAAATACAAAATACCAGAAGTCAGAAACACTGATCAGTACCTAGGAAAAGTGTTGGACATCTACTCCAGACTTCATTGTGTTTCTCTGAGAAGATTTCTATTCTGGACTTTGTTCTTTCCCGTTGGGATATTGTGGACTTTTGTATTTTCCTATGATGGATTACATGTGCTGAATTACTTACTGTGCTGAAGTCTCTTTTTGTAAGCTTTATCTATGGTGGTGTGACCGTAATACGGAATGAAGAGTGTTTGTGTGCGTTATGTACACTAGGGAGGGTCACAAACCAGTCGAATGCGGCTCGTGGTTTGTGGCCAAACCATGAACTGAACCATGAACCGAGCCGGGAGGTTTGTATGCAAACTGAACCGGTTTGTGGTCGTGCAAACATTGTCGGAAGGGGCTGCTCAGCTTTTTCTCAGGCTGTCTTGTACAGCCCCTTTAAACTTTAAATGGACTGTACAAGACAGCCCGAAACAGCTGGAAGTGCACCTGGCTCCCCTCCCTTTTGATCTTCAGGATGCAGTTGAAGATGGTTTTATTTAGGACCTCATGTGGTTAGGTTTAGTAGCAATCCTGGATGCCAATTTTAAACTTTTGGCTTTAAGGTTTTTGATGTGTATTGTTTTATGTGTTTCTCTCTGTGTTGTGAGTCGTCTTGAGCTCCATAAAAAAGAGAGGCGTCTAAAGCAAATAAATAAAACACTCGTTTCTCATCTCCCGGGGCAATTACAGAGCAGAATCAAAATGACGAAGAAACGTCGGCCGCCCACCAGAACCGCCAGGCGATTGGCCGCCCAGAAGTCCAGCGAGAACGAAGGGAGTGATGCCGAAGACGCCCCGCCGATCCTCTCGACCTCTGTGCCACCGGTGACCCTGGGTACCACGGGAGCCAATGAGAAGGTGCCATTGCCTCGGTCGGCCAGCAACAGCGACCAGCCGCGTAAGACAGTCGAGGGCCCTGTCTCAAAGCCAACAGCCCCGCCCGATGCAGACGATCTCTTCGAGTCTGGCGACCTCTTTGAAGATGCTGGAGGATCTAAAGTGACCTCAAAGCCGAAGGTCAAGTCGGAAGCTGAGAGTCCGGCTAGCCACGCCCCTAAAGAAGGGGAGGGGCGGCCTGCTCCGTCGCCGCCCAGTGATTCAAATTGCGAAGACCTCTTCAAGCCTGTGAAGCCCTCGAAGAAATCCAGCCCTGTGTCTTTCCTGGACAGCCAAGGCGACCTCTTCAGCAGTAAAAAACCTCTCAAAAGGAAAGCTGCCAAACCGGCTCCTCCGTCAGATGCGGATCCTACGGTCAAAGATATTTTTGAGGTAACACGGGGGGGTGGTAGCGACAACGTCTCTGTTCTTCCGCCCTCCTCCTCGTACTGTGGCAGGGGGTGCAGCAGCGGTATGTCTGGGCCCGGCGAAGCTCTTGCAGGCTGCTGTGGTCCGTTCGGCCTCGGCGTAGATCTCTCATGCGGCTGCCGGCATGGCTCTAGCAGGCTGCCGGCCCCAGCACAACCCTCGCAGGCTGCCGCGTCTGGTCCCACCGTGGCTCTTGCAGGCTGCCGAGGCTGGCCCTGACGTGGATCTGGGCGGTTGCCACCACCAGCAAGGGTGGGCCTAGAGTGGCTTCCTTAGGCTCTCACCATCGAGGGCAGTCCCAGAGTGGCCTCCGGAGGCCGCCACCTCAGAATGAAGCAAGTCCATTATCCGCACACGTGCAGGCCTTGGTATAGTTGGGGGGGGGATTTAACCCCCTCCCCATTTAATGGGTCTCCCCAAGTTTGGAGAAACATCGAATTTCTCTCAGTGTGGGCCTGATCTGCGGATTTAAGTATCCGCATATCTGCCCACACTTGAGAAACAGATATATAGATGTAGGAGAAGAATACAAGTATTGTGTATTTCACAATACAAGAACTCGTGGGCACTCCATGAAATTGCTGAGCGGTCGGGTTAAAACGGATAAAAGGAAGTCCTTCTTCACCCAAAGAGTGATTAACGCTTGGAATTCACTGCCACAGGAAGTGGTGGCGGCTACAAGCATGGACGGCTTCAAAAGGGAATTAGATAGGCATATGGAGCAGAGGTCCATCAGTGGCTATTAGCCACAAGGTATAGATAGGGGCTCTGGGGCAAGTGATGCTCTGTCTTCTTGGTGCTTGGGGGATGGGGTCAACAGTGGGAGGGCTTCTAATGTCCTGGCCCCACTGGTGGACCTCCTGATGGCACTGGTATTTCTGGCCACTGTGTGATACAGAGTGTTGGGCTGGATGGGCCTTTGGCCTGATCAAGCATTGGCGTCTCTTATGTTCTTATGTTCTTAAGAATGCAGGAGGCAAAGATGTGCTTAACCCCTTCCTTGCTGGCAAGGTGCAAAGTTTCTATCAGAGCTCTCTCAGCCCCATCCACCTCACAGGGTGTCTGTTGTGGGGAGGGGAAGGGAAAGGAGTTTGTAAGCCGCTCTGAGACTCCAAGTGAAGGACGAGGTATAAATCCAATCTCCTCTTCCTCCTCTTCTTCTTCTTCATACAGTATTGCCTACTCAGACTGGCAGCAGCTCTCCAGGGTTTCGGGCAGAGGTCTTTCACATCACTTACTGCCCGGTCCTTTTAGCTGCGATGCTTGGGATTGAACCTGGCACCTACAGCGTGCCAAGCCGATGCTCTGCCCCTGAGCCACCGCCCCTTCCCTTTATACGAGGATATTAACAGTTTCATCTTCCTTTCTCCCAGGATGATATCTTTTCCTCTGAAGCTGTTAAGCTACCACCTGTCAAAGCAAAAGATCTGGAAGCCAACTTGTTTGACGACGATGTCGACATTTTCGCCGATCTTGCCGTAAAACCGAAAGAGAGGAGCGCCAAGAAGAAGGTGGAAGCGAAATCCATATTTGATGAGGACATGGGTAAGGTGTTAGTTCCTCAAAAGAGGTCTGCAATTCTGTTGCGTCGTATTCCTGCATAGGCAGCCCCAGTGGTCGTGTTGCACACGATGAAGAACGAGCTATATGGGTTGCAGATGGAGGAGGCTGAATTATGCCTGCCATTCACTAAATTTCTCTAGAAAGCTGTGAGGACCCCAAATGTCTGGAGCAGGATCCCCGACATTTTTCCAGCCTGTGGGCACCACTGGAATCCTGATACAGCGTGCTGGGTGCAGCCGGAAAACGGCTGTCACAAAATGGCTGCTGCAGGAGGCGGAGCCGGCCGCAAAACGGCTGCCGCACCTTACCCTTCAGTCCTACAGCGAAGATGTTAGTTCTGTGTTGGCAGGGATGCCAGAGTAACATTTTTAGAAATCTGCACAGCCGATCAGGAGCCTTGTTGGAGAAAAGCCCCACCTGGCCTTGCTCACTTTCTAAAAATACTTGACGGCCCCAGGAAAGCCGTCAACGGACACCAGGCTGAGGACTCCTGGTCCAGAGCTTAACATCAGGACGGCTGTGGCTGTTTTGGGGGTTTCACAGGAATAACTTCAGTGGACAGACATACAAGAGATGTAGTTCATGGCACCTGGTGTTTTTGGCCACCTTAGAACATGGTGTCTCCCAAAACAGATCTGCCCTTGGCCTCTCTGCCCTGTTGTTGGCCCTCCAGAGGAACTGGTTGGCCACTGTGTGAGACAGGATGCTGGACTAGATGGACCACTGGTCTGAGCCAGCAGGCCTCTTCAGCGTTCTTCGTATGTCAGGGCTGCCCAACCTTAGAAATCATGGGCAAGATAAATCAAGATCTTCACACTGGGGACAAAGTTTTATGTGCGATACATTTTTCTCGCCCCTTGCTGGTTCTTCCTTTGATTTTGCTGTGTCTTCCTCCCCTTCTGTAGATGACATCTTCATGCCTAATAGCCAGTCCAAGTCACAGACCAAAAAGACCCAACCTGTTCAGATGCCTTCAGGAGCTAAATCCGAGCCCAGAGCTTCAAGTACTTTTGAGGACCCGCTGAATGCGTTCGAAGGCCAATGAAGATGTGGTTAATGTCTCTTCTGCAAATATACTGATCCTGCTCGGCAGTAATGCCTTTTGCTTTTTAATCAACCGATACGATGGGACCGTGAATATTCCTAGCCTGTCTCCTCACCTGGCAACCCAAATCGGAGATAACACGATGAGCATTACAAAAGCAATCTCCAGCGATACCATTTCGCCAGGTGGTTTGAATTCATTAGCTTGTCCAGTCCTGTGCTGGTGTAATCTGTTGTACAGAGTAAAGATTCTATTGTTCAAAGCTACCAAACCAGTCTCTGGTACTGGTAAATAGCAATTGTGAAACCGATTCTGTGTTGCCTTGGTTTTATTTCCCGCTCTGTTCTATCTAGCCAGTTTGGTGTCGTGGTTAAGTTCAAAGCTACCAAACCAGTCTCTGGTACTGGTAAATAGCAATTGTGAAACCGATTCTGTGTTGCCTTGGTTTTATTTCCCGCTCTGTTCTATCTAGCCAGTTTGGTGTCGTGGTTAAGTGTGCGGACTCTAATCTGGGAGAACCGGGTTTGATTCCCCACTCCTCCACTTGTAGCTGCTGGATGACCTTGGGCAAGCCGTAGTTCTGGCAACACAGCTCTCTCAGCCCCACCCACCTCCCAGGGTCTGTTGTGGGGAGGGGAAGGGGAAGGAGTTTGTAAGCCGCTCTGAGTAGGTAGTGAAGGGCGGGATATAAATCCAGTCTCTTCTTTATCTTATGGTTCCAAATAGAGAAGCACATCTTGGGTGTCATTGCTCTGTATTTTCTAAACAGCATGATAAAAAG